CCCCGAGTGAGGTGCAGGTTTAACGGAGAGAATACCAGATGGGCATCTCAGCAGAGGGCTGAGACCTCGGGCTGTATTCAGACTGCAGTGTACATGGATGTGGGCATGGGTTTCCATTTCTCCTCCCCACGCACCCTCCTTTGGGGTATGGCTGGGTGGAGGGCTTCCTGGCCTGGACCTTCCTGAGACTCCTCCCAGAACTTCATCATGGACCCACTGGCCCACTTGGTGTAGCGCTGGGGAGATTCTCATAGGCCTAACAAGGCGATGGAACCAAGGACAAGACTTTTGATGTGTAAATACTGGTCTGCTTCCAAGGCTTGTCCTACATTTCTTTCCTTATTCCACTGTTGATTTTCCTCACAAAAAAAGGAAAGAAAAGAAACCCATCTTCTCCTGTCACACACATAGATTCATGTCTGCCTAACGACCTTAACATTTATGTATAGGCCGTAGGACTATAATCCCTGTCAGAGATTATAGCGACCATAACATTTTCGTGTAGGCCGTAAAGCGGGACAGGCTTCAGCTGTGCCCACCTTAAAAGTGCTGTCCTCTAGTACTCCATTGGATCACAGAGATGAATGAAGTCTAAATGTCAATGACTGTCGCTCCCCCTCTTCATGGAGGAACGACACTAAGCCCTGCCTAGGCTTCCTATCCGAGTCACGGCACCATTATGTCGCTCCCCCTCTTCATGGAGGAACGACACAGGACCCTGCGCTGTTCTTTCGTCTGCTCGGCCCTCCCCGGGTTTGCTGCTGGTTCTTCCCGGGTTGGCTACCGACCCTTCCACCTCCGTGGAAGGGCGGTTCCCCCTGCCACATTCCCCACTTCCGCAGGGGAGCGGCACACCGCCGGCCGGCTCTCTCAGGGGCTGCACAGGTGTTCCTTCAGATGTTCCCCTTAGATGTTCCTGGTGCATGCCGTCTCTCTCCTCCTTTATAGTCCTCCTCCGCCAATCCCAACTCGGCTGCCCACACGCCGAGTACGCTGCTCTCCTCCAATCAGGAGCAGGATCAGCTCCTGGAGGTCAGCACTCAAGTTGGCAAGAGGCAGCTGGGTAGAAGCTGTTTTCTCCTTTCCCAGCGCCATATTGTGGGAGAGCAGATGCATAGAATAAGTCTTAATTCCAGTAACTCAGTCCAGTCCGGGTTGCTCCCCACAAATGAGCACATGAGTGGCACACCTGCCGAGTACTGACTCCCGGAGTTATTACATGCATAAGTCGCTTCTAACGCCTCTGCTTCTCTAGCAGGGAGGTACTTGCCCCACCCTCACTGTGTGGAGAGGAGCCTTCAAGAGGCCAGCTTACTTGCCTGAGATTTCCCTCTTGTAGTAAGTGCTTGGGCCTAGATTTACGCCAGATGGAGTCACTCTGAAACCAGTGCCCTTTCCACTTGTTTACACTTTGAAAGGCTGGGAAGAAAGGAAGGATTTCACCAGTGTTGAAAACTGCCAGCACATATAACTTTGAGGATCCTTCCCCCAGGTTGGGGGTATTATAGTACCTTTGAGGATCCTTCTCCCTAGTCGTGGGTATTATAGTACCTTTGAGGATCCTTCCCCCAGGTTGGGGGTATTATAGTACCTTTGAGGATCCTTCCCCCAGGTTGGGGGAGTATTATAGTACCTTTGAGGATCCTTCCCCCAGGTTGGGGGGTATTCTAGTACCTTTGAGGATCCTTCCCCCAGGTTGGGGGTATTATAGTACCTTTGAGGATCCTTCCCCCAGGTTGGGGGTATTATAGTACCTTTGAGGATCCTTCCCCCAGGTTGGGGGGTATTCTAGTACCTTTGAGGATCCTTCCCCCAGGTTGGGGGAGTATTATAGTACCTTTGAGGGTCCTTCCCCCAGGTTGGGGGGTATTCTAGTACCTTTGAGGATCCTTCTCCCAGGTTGGGGGTATTATAGTACCTTTGAGGATCCTTCCCCCAGGTTGGGGGGGGGTATTATAGTACCTTTGAGGATCCTTCTCCTTATTCCTGTTGTTCGTGCTTTCCCTCTCCCCACCTGACAGTCAGCATTGTCTCACACTGTGGACTCTTATCCCACTTGGTTTGTGGTCTCTTGCAGTGCTGGCTTGGATTTGTTTTCCAAGTGAGATATTCCTGCAAAGCTCACCCTGGGTTTGCTCTCAGTTTTCTGATGGCATGTCTTCAGTCTGGAGTTTGGACGTGGTCTGTTGGGCTGCCAGCTGGACAGGAAGCAGCCATGCCTAGTTGCTGTGACAGCCCTTTCTCTCCTTGGCCAGACCCCTGTTTTCCCCTCAACCACAGAATGCAGTGTTTGATCTTCCTACGGGGCACGACGGGGAGGAACAGAGAGGTCACGAATCCACCGGCACCATCAGTTACTGGACCTTCTGCGAAATGTGGAGAAAACTTCCCAGAATACCCATCTTTCCAGTCTTTAAAGACAGACACACACTGAAGTAGTCTGAACCAAGGCCGAAATGGGTGAAGGTCGTGTTTCAACTGAAATGTTTCAGATCAGTCCCTTCCTTCCTCTTTCATACTAATGTAATTCTATGTTGCAGCTGTCTAACATGTTCATCTCTGTCAGAAGATTGTAATCGCCACCCCTCCCCCCGTACCATTTCTGTTTGGATACTGCCACTACGTAGCCAAATGCCTAATAGAAAAGATGATGTTGTTGACAAGTGATTCATGATTTATATGCCAAGGCTTCCTCTCCCCATCCTCTTAAGTTATGTGACTGATTCATGGCAAATAATTTATTGTCAATTAATCATTGACTGTGAATTCATTTAGATAAGGGTAGTTTCTTTGCACAGTTCTCAACACACATACAGTGTAATGGTGGGAGAGTACTACTTGGTCTGAGCTGCAAAGCGAGAGTACTTTATTAGGTGAGCGAGAGAGTAGAGCAGAGCTGGAGAGCGAACAGCAGAGCTCCCCAGGAGTAAGACACGGAGAGGGGACCCAGGCTGGGTGTCTGCTGGGGAAGTGGGATCCTCGGTCCTTCAACGGCACTCCGACTTCCCTCTCATCTACGTCACCCGGACACAGGGTACAGGGCCGATGCTGACTGGGCCCGCAGGAGCTGGGGCTGGAAGTGTCTAGCTGTCGACCAGTGCTCCCCAAGTGCGGGAGGGAGCATGACTGGTCGGGTCTTGGAGATGGTGTGAAACGAGAGAGAAGGGGGAGTTAACTCTCTTCCTGGAGCGTGCCTGTCCCCCACCCCTACACAGCTGTTGTGCAGTCTTGGAATCTAAGTCACACTGGGAGTCACATTGCTGAATCTGCACCTCCCCTCTAAGTCGATTTCTCTTCTGTGACATCTTGAGTTGTTCACTGTGTCTGCTCCCGCTCTTCTGGTTAAGTGGCCTCCCTGCTTTCTGAGGCTGTGCAGCCTGTTGTGCCGGAGCCCTGTGAGGGGAAATGTGGGGGCTGCCACTGGTGGTCTCTGTTCTGCCCGCAGCAGAATAGTGGGAACCCACAGCTGCCCCATACCTGTCCTACGCACGTTTCCTCCAGTCCCTCTGCACAGCTGAGTGTATCTCACATGTTCCCATTGTTGTGACCTCGTGACCACGTGCACCCCTCTGCTCATCAGTATTCTAATTCAGATGTTATACAGGGGCAAACGCAGTCCTGGGAGGCATGCTTCGGTAGCACATGGTGCCAGGGCTATTCTCACTTTAGATTTCAGTGCACTATTAATGGAGACTAAAATTATTAGTGGTCTTTTTGTTAATCTTGCTGTCGTCTTGTACTGTCAGCTGCTTTTGAATTTACTGTGTCTTATGAGTAGCTAGGTAGCCCCTTCTGCTGCTCTCCCTCCTCAGATTTGACGAAGTCTGACAAGTGCACGTGTCTGATAGTGCTAAGAGAAGGGAGATGCTATGCTGTCACCTTCAGAGCCTCCTGGAAGGTGCGTAGCCACCCAGCAGTTGGTCTAGAGGTTCTTGGGTTCACCATCTGACACTCTGATGCCACAGATCACTGAGAGGATAGGTTAGCTACCTTGCTCCATTTCCTCAGACAAAGTTTTGGGGCTCCTCAGTGTTCCAGTGTAGTTGTGTCTAGAACCCCACCTGTGTTGAGCAGAGCCCCTGTCCCACTTTGCCGAGCTGCAGACTTTGGTGGTCAGTGTCCTGTGACCACACGTTAGTTTCCCAGCGGAAGATTGCTTAAGTAGGGAAGGTTCCGTTCTCTGCTATTTCTCACTGTGCCCTTCCCTTTGTCTTTTATTGATAAAGTAACAAGTTCCAGATAGAACTTTAGACTCAAAAATTTACCACAAACCCTATCACTTAGTTTCCTGGTAGTGGACTTCAGATTCTGGAAGCAAAAGAAAAACTTCCTTAACTACCAGGAGGAGGTAAACATTACCACTTATGTACCTGTAAGTAGGTAGAACATGATCATCACTAGTTGAATCAGCCGAGACTTGGAGTAGCAGAGCTAAATACTGCTGTGTCCTTTATAGTTCTTAATATTTGAAAGAATGAGGAGCCAGTACTGTGGCATAGTGGGTAAAGCTGCCACGTGCAGTGCTGGCATCCCATATGGGCTAGCTGGCTAGTTTTGAGTCCTGGCTGCTCCACTTTCAATCCGGCTCCCTGCTAATGTGCCTGGGAAAGCAGCAGAAGGTGGCCACGTGCTTGGGCCCGCACCCCCGTGTTCACATGGAAGCTCTTCCCGGAAGAAACTGCTGGCTCCTGGCTTCAGATTGGCCGAGCTCCAGCTGTCGTGGCCATTTGGGGAGTGAACCAGTGGATGGAAGACCTTTCTCTCTCTCTCTCTCTCTCTCTCTCTCTCTCTCTCTCTCTCTCTTTCTGCCTCTGCCTCTCTGTAACCCTGCCTTTCAAATAAAAACATAAATATTTAAAAAAGAAAAAAGAGAATGATAGATGCATGGAAAGAGGGAGGGAACGGAAAGAAGATAAAAAAAGAAATCTGAAAGGCCAGCTGCTGGGATGAAAAGAGTGCACTTTCCTTTTAAATGTTGTTTGATCACTTGTCTTTTTTAGAATGCGAGAAGTTCCTGGATGGTGGGCTGGGTGGAGAGTGTGCCCCCACACAAGCCGGACTGCAGAGCGCGTCTGGCAGCGATTCGGAGCTCTTCGCCTCCCCCAGCGACGGCGTGGGCAGCATCCTGTTTTCAGAGGTACTGGTTGGGCCTTCTTCGCGTTTTGTCCCCGTGGTACTCAGGTTCCTCTTTGGCCTGCCCTACCCTTTTCTGCCTGTTCCTTTGTCCTTGTGCTCGTCCTCTGGCCGCGACCTGTTCCACTCTGTAGGTGCCTCCCCCAGTAAGCTGAGATCAAGCTAGCCTTACAGGCTTCCTTCGTTCTCAGAAGAGTGTGAACCTTCCCTTTTGGAAAAGGAACTCCAGTTTGCCAGGGATTTGAAAAAGGCGCTGCCCACATTTATCTTCTGCGAGATCGTGGCTGGTTTTTTGCAGGTTTTGATACTCCCATTGAAGCCTGTAGGAATGGAAGATCCTTCAGGGTGAATTGAGTCAAGTGACAGAGAATGCTGTTGCGTGGGCAGACGGGACCACAACTTGGCCTGCATGATGTCACATGTAACACGCTAACCATGGAGTCGTTTCTGGTTAGTGTGTTGAGGCCTGAAGCCTGTGCTGAGCTTGGTGACATCACCCCTGTGCATCCGTCCTGCTTACTTGGAACTTCCTGGATCTCCCCCGTGAAAAGCCCACGGGCATGAGTCAGGTCGTGTTTGCACACACCTGGGGGTGGCCGAGGGAGGCAGTGGTCACTGCTTTCTGTTTCTAGTGTTTGTTTCTGGCTCGGCCAGGGTCGAGGGCTTCCCACAGCAGGGCAGCCGTCGTGCTCAGTCGCACGCCCTGGTGGTTTTCCTGGAGTGGGGAGCGGGGAGCGGGGCAGAAGCCTCGGGAGCTGTGAGGATGACTAGAAGACTGACTTGCTGGTTTTACGGTCTGTGTTCGTGAGAGGACGCTTAGAAGTCGCCGTGAGGAGTGGAGGCCAAGTCCTGGCGGTGCGGTCCGGAGCGCCCGAGGCCTCTGCGCGTTAGCTCTGGACCGTTCTCCCCTGCAGACCAGTCCAGTCCAGGGCGCTGTTCCCGCGCGGCCTCCTTCCCTGGCCTTGTTTCCCTCTGGTCCTCATTGTCTTCCCAAGAGCTCTGGAGAGACCTGCGGTGGGCCTGGGGTTCTGCCTGTTACTTGCTGCGCCAGCTCTTAGAGGGAACATCTTCCTTCTCTAAAGTTAATTGAGAAAATAGGAACTAGCATTTTTTCTTTTTATTAAATCAGAATTTGGGTAATTTCCACTGTGATGGTGACATTTTAAATGTAGATTTCTGTTCCCATTAAGGGGAATACCATTCTGTACATATTGGTCCCTAAAAACCTGCTTTTTTCTCTTTAAACAACTTTTTTATTTATTTAATGTGAACATGCTTTTTTTCTGAGATAAACAGATCAGAGATTTTCTTTAAATTCCAGCTTTAAATAGAATAATTGATAATCCATGAAATTGGGTCACGAAGGTGTAGAAATTTGTTGAATGTTTATGTGTGTGTGAAAATTTTTTAATAGTAACAACTTTTCAAAAAAAAAAAAGAAGGAAGTGTCTTGACTCAGAAATGCAGCTTGCTCTCTGCAGAGTGGTGGTTGTCCTGGTTTTTCGTAAAGGACCTGTGCCGGGTGGGCAGTTTCTGTAGGAAGACTCCTCAGATAGAACTTCTGAAAGCTGAACAATCCTCCCCAAATCAGAGTTTATCTGCATCTCCTAGCCAAGTGCTAGGGTGGAGCCGAGTGCTGCATGCCTGCACCTCTGCAGGCGGGCGAGGCTGTCTGGGTAGCCTGGGATGGGCCCCGGAGCAGCGTTTGCAGCAGTGTGTCCTCCAGTGTTTCAGGGGAGCCTCCCCCGTGAGAGGGAAAGGAGGGCGAGGGCCGAGACTGACCCATGCTGTCAGGAAGCAGGCGTTGGCCCAGTCGCACACTTGCGACCTTCGATGTCACCTGCAGGGAGGTGGATTTACCCTCTTCGCTGGGGAAACAGGCATTTACCCCAAGTTACTCAGCGAGATAGAGAATCGAGGTTTGCAGCGAGGCCTGACTGTTGGTCATTTTGTTGTGGTGGTCTTTCTCACTCAGTCTAGTGACCAGTGATTCATCTAGAAGCCTGGCCGTCTGCCACTCAGAGGTCACCCCCACAGCATGTGCTGGGAAATACTAGATGTCCCGAGTGTCTTCCCGGGTCTGATCCTCTTCTCCCTGCACTAGGAAATAGTCTGAGGGCATGACAGCACCCTTTCCTGAGAACTGTGAGTGGTGCATGAAGTCACTTCCTGGAGCCCGTGTGAGCATCTGGCCTTGCAGCGGCCTCGTCACAGCCGGCAGTGCCTGTGCTGAGCTTTCCACCTTCACCTGCTCCTTCCATTCAGTGTGCGCCCTGGTCGATGTGACTACGGGGTGCCGTGGGCGTTGAGGTCACTCCTACGGTGTTAGCTTCTCGTTACTTGCACTAAAACCTGAGAAGAGTTTTCTGGGAAGGAAAAAGTTTCCTTGTGCTCAGTTTGCAGTCTCCACTCAGGTCCAGGCAGCCCCGTAGTCTGGCGTCTGGTGGAGAGGGTGTGAGGAAGGGTCACACCGGGAGGCAGGAAGCAGAGAAGCCAGGCGGAACTCTGCTTGAGTGCCCCAGCCCTATGACAAGAGCCACCTGCCAGCAGACCTGCCTCTCGGATGCTGTAATTCCTTGAATTTGTCAGCCTTTGAAAAGTCCCACTCTGCACGAGTTTGGGGAGGCAAGCTCTGTTCAGTCTGTAACCCTTATGGACGGTTTCTGGTTCCTGCGCTGTTTCTAGGATCAACAGCATAAAATTTAGATTTTGTTTTGAAAATAAGATACAGTCCTGGGATCATTTTGGCACTAACTGAGAAGCTGTGATCATAAAATACCCATGATCTATGCTATTCTGTTATGCACAAGGATAGTGGACATATACAGAGACTGTAAGAATTGTTATGAGGGCCAGCACTGCGGCACAACAGGTACGGCTGCCGCCTGGGATGCCAGCGTTCCATGTGGACACCAGTTCATTTCCCGGCTGTTAAACTTCCCATCCAACGCCCTGCTAATGGCCTGGGGAAGCAGCAGAGGGTGGAATCACTGCGTCTCCTTGGGAAGGTCAGTCTAAACCCTTCCACTGTGTTTTCCCCGGCTGGTGAGAGGGAGCCATAACTAATTATTATCAGAGTAACTTACAGGAACATCCTTGGCTTCATAAGGTGTACTTTTTGCCTAGTTACTCGAACACCAAGCCAAAAAATTAGTGTATAGAAGAAAACTTTCAGGTAAAAATAAATATATTTATAGATTATAATGAGAAAAACTGTGAAGTACCAAAATCATTAGAATTTCAGAACTGTGGGCCAGGAAGAATGCTTGTGTTCAGGTCTTTCAGATTCTTAGAATCCATTACATGATGAGTGTGTGCTGGTTTAAAATGGGCTGGTCTTTCCAAGTGCACACAGTGGAATGCCTTGTGTGTAACATAGCAAATAACAAATATTTGGCGAGTAAATGAAAACGAAGACTCACTTTGGCAGTATTAAGTGAATGCCTTCAAGTGTAATAGTAAGTGGCAGCAGTTTGTATTTCCAGGAAGTAGGTGTATATTATGTGACACCTGTTTGTCTTTGTAATGTAACTCTGCTCAAGGATGCCAAACAGGCGTTTCTCCCAAACCTTAGATTGCAAAATACTGGAATACGGAAAACTTGAAGAATTGTGCCGTGAACTCTCACAGGCCCGGACCTGGGTTCCACAATTAAGCTTTAATTGAGTTTGCTTTGTTACTGACTGTGTGTGTCCATCCTTCTGCCCGCCCACCCCTCGAATTCTTTGATGCATCTCAGAATGAATTAAAGGTATCAGAGTGTTTCCCTTTGAACCTTTGCACCTCATTTGTTTACAGTGATTTTGATAACAGCACACACAGGAAATGCACATTCTGAGCCGGGCCTGTTTGTTGCCTGAGGCCTCCTCACCCAGGACCTGCCCGAATCGCTCAGGAAAGCTCCGTCCCTCCCTAGCCCCATCTAAACAGTACCGGTCCTCTTGGGCAGCTGCCTGAGGGTGGGAGGTGTGGTAGGTGTCATGTTTGCGAGAAAAAGACCTTCCCAGACTGTTCTGCCATCTCACATCCTCCCCAGTGAGTGAGAGAGCTCTGGTTGCTGCACATGCTTCCCGACATGTGTGACGTGTGTGTGTTACTGCTTTGATTTTAGCACTTCTGACGTGCCTGTAGTGAGGATCTCATTATATTTGGATGTGCATTTCCGCGATAACCAGTATGGTCTGAAATACATTTTCCGGTGCTTATTGGCTACTGTGTATCTTCCTTTATGGGTGTAGTTCAAGTCTGTGGTCTATTTTTAAAACTCGGATTTTTTTTTTCAGTTGTTGAGAAGTGGCAGTTCCAAGTCTATCTGGATTCCAGTCCTTTGTTAGATTTGAATGTTGTGACTATTCCATCAGTCCATGGCTGGCTTCTTCACTCTCATGGTCGTGTCCCAATAAGCTGATTTCCTGCCACTTGTTAATTTTTCCTTCTTTACTCCATCCCACTCCCAGCCAGTGATTTTCTTTAGAAGCTTCCTAGTTTTGGTCTTTGCATTTAGGACTGGGGATTCCATCGTACTTGATGTAAACATTCTTATAGCTGTTATGTAGCTTGTAGAAGTGAGGGTAAGCCCACCTCTGTCTAGAGTCACCAGGAGAACCAGACCAGTCAAATGAAATAGTCCTGAGTTTATCATTTAACCTCAGTGAACCACGGTTTCTCAGCTGTGAGATGGCAGTAAGCGTCTGTACTAAATGAAATGATTGCTTGGATTAAAAGAAGTAATACATCTGGCTAAACATAGAACCTCCCGTGTGCTGAGTAACCAGTCATGACTGTGAACATTCACCGGTTGTTCTGCACATGTATTTAAGAATAGTAATAGTTTCTCAGACGTTACAAAAATTTGGGAGAGAGACATACACAGAGTGGTCTGTCTGCTTCATTCTGCAGATGCCTACAGCCCAGGTAAAGCTGGTCTGTAGAACCAGGCTGCAGACCGTGAGCTCGGTCCAGGTCTCCCACAAAAGTGGCAGGAATCCAATTCCTTGAGCTGTC